TTTCATCCACTGCCCCCTGGTGCCCCCTGTGTTTCATCCACTGGCCCTGGTGCCCCCTGTGTTTCATCCACTGCCCCCTCGTGCCCCCTGTCTTTCATCCACTGCCCCCTGGTGACCCCTGTGTTTCATCCACTGCCCCCTCGTGCCCCCTGTCTTTCATCCACTGCCCCCTGGTGCCCCCTGTGTTTTATCCACTGCCCCTTCGTTCCCCCTGTGTTTCATCCACTGCCCCTGGTGCCCCCTGCATCACCCCGTTGTGAGTCATTCCCCTCGTGCCCTTTCTCGTGGTCAAGCAGGGACATACAGACCAGGACAAGGCCTGGACAAGGACACAACATCCTGAGATTGCCTGGAAAGAAGGAACCAGACACAGAGATGAAAGAAAATTGATGTTATGGGTGCTTATGGGATTTAGTGATAGGAAAAAAGAAAGGATCGTATGGTCATTATTTAGTTTATGAAGGCAATGTCAAAAACCACAAAAGATAGGTGAAGCAGATTCCATGAAATTCATTGGTTGATGTTATAGTTGTTTTCTCAGTCTATTTCATTTATTTCATCTACATGTCTTTGGTTGTTGAAGTCTTTAGTGTATTATCTTATTCCTTCACTTTAAATAGCATTCTAGAATCTTGGATGTAGGAAGACAACTTATGAAAGAAAGGAACTAACAATAAATAAGCCAAAGAAGAAACCCACACACACAGACACACACACACACACAAGGCCCGGACAAGGTGGTGAAGAAAGGGCGGACGTTCAGTTAAAGTATTGACATCTCACGATGGTAGCCATTCTTTGCGAAACTGCGAAAGCAATTTGCATGATTTGCGCCACCTGAAACAGGATGGGGGCCTTGTTGACCTGCTGATCATCCAAACAAACGTGTACGCGTGACCCATATATCACCCATTGACCCATCCACTACATGAGTCTGAACCAGTATCAACAGTATAATGGTCACCCGACCAATGGTCTGAAGCCATGGACTTCGACAGTGTGACTCCTGTGAGATTGGTGAAATGGGTGGTTCAACGACGTGGGTGAAATGGGAGAAACCCTAGACGTTGACATGGTATGACTGTCTATGGTGAACCAAACGAATCCCACTCCAACAAGAAACAGCTAGCGCTGGAGTGGGATTCGTTTGGTTCACCATAGACAGTCATGTCAACGTCTAGGGTTCTGAAGCAAAATTGAAAGTGCAACTGCCTCGCCTCATCACTGCCCATCGTTCCCATCGGTCTTCGCATTCCGATGTCGCTCCAACATCCCGAACTCGCGGTCATGCCAAGGTACTTCGTGCTCCAGCTCGAAAAGCTTGGAACCAGTTTCATCCTCGACAAATTTGACAAAGTCAAACGCCACCAAGCACTGTTTTCCCGGTGATATAGCGCCTACATGCCGTTAACGGGGGCAGATTCCCGTCTTTTGAACTTGCCAAATACGGGATTTAGGGGGTGAACTTCCGTGGAAATCATTGTCACGTCTGGCAAAAGTTGCTCATCCGCCAAACCCTACAATTTGCTCGACCCAAACAATTCTCCTGTTCCTAACCCCAAAGTGACAAAAAACAGGCCACATCATCACACCACAAACGGCGTGATTCGAGGTTTACCCGTTACCAATCGCATTGTTGACCAACTCGCTTCATTCCTTTGCTTTTCCCTCTTGAGAAAAAACATAACATATTATCTGAGTTCCCAAAAAAACAACACTTTGAGGGACATGGGTCGATTTCGTCAAAGCCAGCTTGTGTTGAACAAAACCGGTTCATCCTTGAAAGGGAATCTGACCAGGCTGGGAGAATTCGATATATTTGTGAGCAACTTTCGCAGCAGAAAAGCAAAGCCTGGAGAAACGGTCCCCACATCCGAAAAAGACCGCGCGGGAAGGGGATTCATTGAACAGTCCGCCCATGAAACTAGCCAATGCTGTGGTAGAACATGGTGACACCCGTTGGCGGTTGGCTTGTTCCGTTTCAACCTCACCCATGCTCGGCAGGTGATTGATTCGCCGTTCTTTCCGCTGAAGCTTACTAACAACAGCAACACCCGCCCAAACACCTGTGGTTGGTACCTGGTCGTCAACAGCTGCCTGCCGTCATCTGGGCGCCTGGGCACCCCGGCCACCACATCCTTGAAACGAAAGCAGCTGTAGTGCAAAGCCTGACGCTGGGACCGCAGCTCTTTCCGCATCGGCCCGACCCCGTAGCGGACCCGACCCGACCCGACCCCCGTCCCGCCTGCGCGACCGGTCGACCGCAAAGTCTTGATGAAGACCGCTCCCCATATGAAGAGTGCTTTGTCAAATAGGATGAGTCTGCATATGTTCCATTTGAACAAACACCCCATATGAATACACTCCCCATATGCCCATAAGTTCCATTTCAATTGAGTGCCTTTATGAATAGGATGACTCTACACTACCCTGGTGATCCAGAGCGCCATGAGCTTCACAGCCACGTCTGGTGGACCGACTAAGAAGCACACGGCGTCTGTTCGATCGCTTTGGGGGGGTGGAACACCACCTTCCGAAGCAACACCTGCGCGGGGAACTCATGCGTGCGGAACTGCGTCAAGGCTCCGCGCTCTTCTTCTCGGCGTATTCTTGGCCGCTTCGAAAGGAGCTGATGGACTGTTTCACTGGTAGAGTCTGTTACACCATGTTCTTCTAAGCGGCTTGACCGGCTACCATGGATCACGTGACCTCGATGCATGTCGTCAACGCCCTGAGAACGCCCGCCTCCTCCAGGGTGGTTGACTTATCCAAGTGGACGAAACGTGGGTTCACCCAGACCAAGCCTGCGAGGACGTGACGCGTCACGCGAGTGGCAGGACAGGCGTCACTGGTCCTGTCGTTCAAACCGCCAACGACCACGGTTTGGCCAAGTTGACCCACCGAACCAGGGAGAACCGAAGAACGGCTCCTCCCGTGGATCGCTTTCTCTCGGAACCGCCCCCCCCGGCCCTAATGGTGTTGGTGTTTGAGGTTTGGCTTGATCTCCGCGCCTCGCTCGAGGAGGCGTTGGAAGCAACCTTCGAAGTCGTTCACATAGATGGCCATGTGCTCCCCAACCCTGGGGAGCGCAGGGGCTCCGGGGCACCGGGTGTTTCTTTACCGGTACCATGGGGTCCTTGTCGTGGGGCGAAGGTAGAGGACATGGCCTTAACAGCTGTTATGAGTTATAAGCAAAATCGGGACTTCTTCGGTTTGGTTGTACATTGGCTTTACGGATGCCTGTTCTTTGAAACTTGACCTTGGCCTTGACTCATCTGGATCTGTCTATTCATCCCCCACCAATCAGACTGTTTCCTTGCTCTCTACACTGTAGAGACATAAACCGGGCTAGCTGTCCAACCCGCACTCCCAATGGGGGAAATAACAGCCAAAAGTCTATGTACGTGGAGAAAAATCCGAGTCCATATATATAACCACATGCCTCACACGAGGTGTTCTTTGGTCGAGCAGTGCCAAGTGGTTCACTGTGCACCATGTCGGCCCTGCGATTCAAGCTCCAAAACAGTGAGTGCAGTGGAGAACAAAACACACAGCTTATGCATTCCAATAAGCACCTCCCGGACTAATCATGGTTTTAAGCATGTGCCGGTCTTTCCACTCAAAAGGGGTGTCTATGCCTCTTCATGTGCAAGTGTTCGGACCCGTCTACATGTCCCAATTCCGTTCTGTCAACGAGGCAGAGTTGTGCTGCCACCCGGCAGAGCTCCTGGAGTACCCACCCAAAAAAGTACTGCGCATCAAAGCATAGATCCTTTCACCTTGTTTGGATGGTACACTGTACAGTACCAATTCAGCCAAAAGACTCTTTTCCAGAACAGCCTTCGACCTCCTGGCCAAGTCGCAGAGGACACGGGCAGCGCGAAGCCCACTGCTTTCGAGAAAGGGTCCAGCTTCTCCAGTAGCCCCCAATCGCTGTCACAAAGAAAGGGTCCAGTGTTTGCGTAGATAGGGTTAGCAACTTGCAAACCTAAGCATCTGTGTCACAGCACTTCTGGAAGCGGAATCACCTGTGACATCCTGTGACCCACATGATGCTCCGATACTAGAGCTCTCGCAGCCACAACAACCCACGTGTCCCGATTTTGATCCCCAGCTGCACAAGGAAAGTCCAACAGTTGGCCATATTACTACAACACTTGGTGGAATTTGGGCGTCCTATTCACCATGAGGTACAGCGCATGGCCTGGCTTGCAGTCCATGCCATGAGCAACATCGAAGAATGTCATCATCCTGAAATTCTTCATCATCCTTTGCTCCCTCGGAATGAAAAAATGAGGAGACTTGGCCAAATTCCCCCAAAAAACGTCGGACCTCCACCCTGGAGAAAAAAGAAAACGCTCGGAAGGTCCACGCAAAACACGCCGAATATGTTTCTTCGAGAAGGAAGAAACACATGGGTTCCATGACGAAGTCAGGCCAAGTGAAGAGTGTGTCTATTTGTATCTAGACATGACGTAATTAAGACCACAGTGGCGCCTTTGCCCCTCCCGCTCTTGGTCTACATCAGAAATCGCGTCTCCACATACTCAGCTCTCCTGAAACCGCAGTTCCTGCGCCAGGCCAGGCCCCGCCAGCACGGCGCAGCCGTCGGCGCAGCCGTCCACGTCGCGCACGGCGCAGCCGAGGACCTTGCGACGGAAGAGACGGGAATAATTTGCCATGGCACTGAGACGGGCTCACCATACTCCCGAAAAGCGGGGTCGGTCGCACCATGGATCTGAAGCACACGCTAGGATCCATTGGGCACCTGAGGTTCCATTTGTTCACGTATTCCTGGGTTTCTCGGGTCACATTCCATTGGCTTTTCGCTGGTTCCTGGGATTCGCCATGCCCATTCGTTGGCGGGCGTCCGACCCTGCGTCACGTCACACGTGGTGATGACATGCCATGGTCCTTGGACTTTGCCCTCCAATCTGGGTGCGGTAAAGCCCCGAACCCCTTCACGAAAGACGCGGAACTAGCATGCTGTATCACCCATTCTACAACAACAACTAATGTTCAATGGGCTGACTCCGGGCGGACTCCCTAGCAAACATACCACCTGGACGTTACTTACTGTGCGAAAAACAAGGTGACAAAGAAACCACGACGCTGAGACGCTGTTGCAGAAGCCTCGACACCTGGGGACCGAATGGGAAAAAACTCGACCCGGACCGTTTGGCGAGTGGATTCGATGATGATTCATCAAGGCGCCAGGTGCATGGCTTCATTGAGGGTACATCCACCAACGGGCGAACTGCACTTCAGCCAAAAGTTAGGCGAAGCACGTCATTTGCAAACTGCTAGAAGATCTTAGAAGAGAGGTGCTGCAAATCTCATCACCAACAACTCTTCAATGCACGATTTGAAGAGCCGAAACCCCTCAACCAACACGGCAGCACATTGGCGAAAGCGGCACCTCTTTGTAAAAGAGAGCTGCTTTCTTCGCGGTGCCGACAGGGACCTGCACCATCTGAGGAAACACTGGGCAAATCCGAGGATCACGAATGAACCGTTCCCCCAAACCTGTCCTGTTCACTGGGAGAATCCAGCGACAGTTGCAACAGGAACCAGTTTTGAACAATTTCCACACTAACGGCTTGGAAGCCACGACGAAGATCCTCATGGAAGATCCTCATGGAACCTGAATGGGTTCTATAGTGGGGCAAAACGTATCCATGAACGAACACGGACGAATACTGAATGATGATCGTGAGTTAAGGCTCTGCCAAATAGATTGCATTTCAACTGACCACCGGGCCCAGCTCAGAGACGGCAAGCTTCCCTACCTGATTAAGTTCGTTCCCTCGGTCTGAGTCTCAAGTAAATAGGTTGTTCTCCGGAAGTGTGCATTGTCGGTCAGGCTGTTGAGTGCGACGCCCTTTCAAAGTTGAACACTGTCCAGATGTCGTTGATAAAACCTCTGCGTTTGCCCCTTGTGTAGGTCTGTGTGCAAGTTTCTGCACGTACTATCACAGCCGACCTGCGGGCTAAGGTTTTTGTCGAGAACCAATGATTTCAACTCAAAGTGAAGGGGCCAAAGCAAGCTACACCTGCGGGAAAAAGGAAGCCAAGAGAGTGTGAGAGAGAGAGAGAGAAATCCCCAGGCCCCAACTGCAAATATCTTTACTGTTCCTCGTAATATCCTTGCCCAAACACCACATGTTCTTACTTTACCCCTTCCTAATCAACTCCACGGAAAGGTTTGCTCCCTCTTCCAGGTTGGATGCCATGGCTCGGGGACCGCTGGATCGGCCCGGTCTTCCGCCTCCAAGGTCAAGGCATCCATCCCAAGGCATCGGCTCTTCTCACTGCCCGGGCGCGCGCCGCAGCGCGGCCCCAGCGCGTCCAGCTTCGCAGGTGCCACATGGAGGAGGAAGCGATTCCCATAAGGCCCCAGCACTGAAAGCTCCTGGAGAGGGCTTCGTCATCGGACACGGGCGACAAGCGGCCGAAGAAAACCAAGAAAACAACGAGTACTCACTCTGCTGACGCTGCTGACTTCGTTCGCTTGGTGGAGAGATTCCATGCAAGCCCTATTGAAGTTGGTATTGAGATCCAGTAGGAATGTTGATGCAGTTCGTGGGCATTTCCGATGATTCTTTCCAGTGTGCGATGTGATAGATTGATGTTGTGATCCACTAGAATAACAAAAGAGCAAACCCAGCTGGGCAAAGGACTAAGAATTAAAACACCTGCATTTGCCCGATCATCTTCTAAGCAATATGTGAAATGTCTAAAACATTGGTGCAAAGCGGAACGAATTTGGGCAGCACCTCATGGGAGAGAGAGATGTTCTGCTCCTGACGTCCGCGATAAGCAAAGCGTAAAATGTGTGTGCCAATAACGTGACTGAGTTGCACACTCCACGAATACGAACATCTGGAGGAGTTGCTACGGGGACATGGCACGGCGTACCCGCGACCGAGCGGTGCCAGTCAAGCCACCCCACAGCCATTGAGAGCTGACCGAAAGGAAGGTTGAAACGTGGCAGTGACGTCACCCGGTCTCCTGCAGATCCTCCTGCCACTCGCCCAGCGTCAGGTCCGTGGATGCAAAGCGTTCCTGAAGGTCGGAATGCGGGGACTGGGAACCCCGGATGTCCTGGGGGGCGCCTTGGAAGGTCCTGCACCCTCTAGGATCTCCGACGTCGGGGACCTCTGGGACCTCTGGGTTCGTCGTGAAGGCGGAGCGAAGACCCGGAAAAATCGTTGACATCTTGGTCACCCAGTGAACATCTACCTGCAACCCATGGTCGTAGTCAAGCCGGTAAAGGAGCGTTGCGAGGTGAAGTCCTGGTAGATGTTTATGAGCCTTCACCAATGGATAATAGCGATGCAATGACCACTGTCGGTATGTCTATAGGTCTTTTACCGTCTGGGTTGCCAAATGTTCCCAAGAAACAACGGTTTTTAAGGTTTGCAGCGACCTTCCAATGACACTTCTGTGACGGGTCATGTGCATTCCACTTCCATGAACCTTCTCAGTGGTGTCAATCAACCGGGTATACAGGCATCCATGATTCCAAATTGCAGAGCCGATTGGGGAATTGACACGCATGGTCAGTCCTTTGCGAATCAAATATTCCCTCTATGGTAGCAATTAAACGGGGAGAAAACACATGGCCATTGGCAGTCAACTGCCCGAATTATCTTCCGTGGCGAAACAATGAAAACTCAACAGTCTCAGTGAAATATCTTGGTGCCTACCGGTCAACCTCCAGCTTCCAACAATCTAAATCACCAAGCACGTGGAGAAAGCAACGTCACAACTAAGACCACCAACGAACGGACAGAAAGGGACAGTGCGCCAAACATCAAAGAATATGGGAGTTGAGTTCCTTTCGAACTATCAATAACTTTCAACCGCCCAGCCTCAGCTTGCAGCGTTCTCAACCGCTGAGCCGCCGCCTCCAACATTGCTGGGCTGTCGTAGGCTACGTGGATCGTGCCACGCCAACGCTGAGGCCCAGCATCTGCACCCAGTGCGTGGTGAACAAATTCACATATTATATATATATACACACATATAACTATATTAATATGGGGTTGTTCTAAACCATGGTTGCAGGGTGTTATGTTGAAAGGCCCTTGCGCTCGCACTTGCGCCTCTTTGCGCCTATGAAATGTTTTAGCATTTCATTTGCAATTGATTTTAGCAGTGGCCCTCAAAAGTAGCGCGCTCGAGGCGGGAAAGGAAGAACATGAGAAAAAGGTCACGGAATGCAGGAAAGAGAAGAAAAGGAACAGGAAAAGGAAAAGAAGGCCAGGGGAACAGGAAAGGAAAAGATTGTGCAACAAATTTACAACGGGGAGTGGTTTCTGGGAGCTTGGGCTCAAAAGTGGTTACTTTTATAGCCACAATTTTGCAAAACGAGAACGGGCAAAATACAACAAGAAGGAAAAGAGGCAGCAAAGAGCAGAAAAAGGAACAGTACAAAAAAAGGGAAAAAGACAGGGAAACAACGGCACTAACAACAACATAGTACAAATGCAATCCAGGGCTTGGGGTTGGCAACATCACCCAATTTATTTCGGCAAGCAGGCTATGTTGCATTTCTGTCCTTTCGTGGTGATGTTGTCCTTTTTGCCGTTGGATCTTAGGTGTTCCGGCCTGTCGTTTTTCAGTAAATATTGTAGGATTAAAAAATAGAACAAAGAAAGCCAGATCATCCAGATGGAAATCACTGAAGAATCGATTGGTCAAGTGTAGCACGTGGGTGTCTTGCAAGAGACGAAATTAATTCACTTCACGTGAGCCCCACCATGACACTTCAATCTGACAACTTTGTTGGCATGTATTTTAAGTATGGTGTCTGACATTCTTTCTAGCATATCTTCTGGTTAACATTCTGTCTGACATGTTTCTCTGCTTCTCTGACATTCTATCTGGCAGATCTTCTGACATTCTTTCCGGCATTCTTTCGGGCGTTCTATCTTGCATATCTTCTGGCTCGCGGTTGAGGTCTGGCGGAGAACACTGCCGTCCGGAATTGGCGGTTGAGGTCCGGCGGGGAACACTGCCGTCCGGAACTGGTGGTTGAGTTCCGGCGGGGAACACTGCCGTCCGGAGCTGGTGGTTGAATCCGGCGGGGTCTTCCGCCAACGTCCTCAACGTCCTCAACACTCTCCAAAGCTACTAAAACCAAAGCATTCTAAGTTTCCAACCGTGGGCAGAAGCTTCTCCAGAAACTTCTCCAGCCGATCCTCTGAGTGAGTCAGCGTGCGAGAAAGCTGCGATGACTCTGATGCCTCCAGCCCCCTCCAAAGGCTGCTGTTTAGCCCCTAACATGGCTATGAACTGGCTGAAGGATGCAGCTACCACACCATGGAGCATACGGTCCTGCTCTTCTTCTGTGGGAACTGGTACAATGGCTTGTCCTCGCGCTTCTCTCGCCACACCGTCACCCAAAGCGCCTGGGCCTGAGCGATTGGAGTGGGACCGAAGAGATCCCACTATCTGGCTTGTATAGCTCTGGCTTGAGCCCAGGTTAGCTGCGTCACGAACTGCTTCGGTCCCGGTGAGAGGCTTTCCAAAACGAGCGTTTCGTACGAGACTTCCTCAAAAACTCACATGTCAAAGTCCAAAAGTCAAGCGGAAACACCCATCGGAGCACACACATCAAGCAGCCCTGCCAAGCAGTTTCGCGATTCCAGCCCCTCCAAACAACACCCGCCCACGCGCCAATCCCAATGTCACAGCGACATTCACCTCCACCACGACTCGCAACCTCACGATTCCCTGCACCTGCCACGAAACTTTCCGCGTCCACGCGTCTAACGCGCACATAGTACTGCGCCTGCCACGAAATGTCACCTCCGTCACACCTCGCAACTTCACAACTCCCTGCGCCTGCCACGAAAATCGCACTTCCACACTTCAAAACCCGCGCAAAGTACTGCGCCTGCCACGAAAAGTGACAATATCATATCATGTGGGACATTTGACCCCCTGTCATTAAGTCATTCTGGTTTGCTCCCAAAAATGAATCGATCCGGGATCACGCTGAAATTTCTCAAAATCTCCGAAAAGAACAGGGGAAGAGTTAATTATCAAGCAACTAATGTAGACCCTTAGAAGCGCAGTTCGACCAAATTTTGGCGCCACCGAAGTCTCCGGAAAGTTCCTTTCAGATCCGTTTCTTCGACCCGCAGGCCTTTTTGAGGCGCTTTGCTGACCTTGCTGGCCAGCAAAGTTGGGCCGCCCTGTCGGCGCTCGCGTCGGCACGTGCCGCGAGTCCGCCCACGAGCGGAACACGGCGGAGCAACAAAGATTAAGGTTGAGCGGAAAGCGCGCCTGCACATCTGTTTGCGCCACTTGCGCCGTCAGAAAAATTGGCTATATACAAAGTTAGTAGTGTTCAACCTCCCACAAGTCACCACTAGTAATGTCAACTAACCACACACTGCCTCAAATTTTTATATGGAGTAACAAAAACTTCCACTGGAAACAAACCAGTAAGTTTGGATACGATGACCGGAAACCTTATGACATCAATACTTTCTCAAGTCTATCATGTAATGTATTGCTGATGTAGTGCTGACAACAGTTCACAACCTATCATGCCTCTAGAGTTCATCCAATCTTAGGTGGATGAAGACTGTGAAGTGCGTGTGCATCAAGCAGAACAACCCGCAAGATTACATCTGGAGAAGGTTGCAAGTGAGCGATCCTCATTCCGGAGTGCCACTAACTGATTTTCCTCCGTTCTGCACACGTTGGATTTTCTTAACGGATTTGGTTTCACTACTGGATTCTCAAAACACCATGCCGTCGGGCCTACGATCTCCTTCCACTTGTACATTCCATTTGAGCTCGGTGGCCTTGGTGGTCCGGTCTTGGTGTCTTGGTGGTCGGTGGTCTTGGCGGTGATTGTGGCAGTCTACTCTTGGTGGCCTTGGTGGTCTTGGTGTTCCGGTCTTGGTGGTCT